TATATATTAATATTAGGATATTTTGGTCTTGGATCTAAATGGTGGAATTCCGGTAGGAAAGCAGTACCATCTTTTGAGTAGGCATAGTAATGATTTTGTAAATAATTTTATGTGCATTTGGCTTCGTGGATGATTGCTTGTTGCTTTCATTTCAGACCCATGCCTCCTCCAGTGTCAGCCTGAAAAATGATAGAGATGTCATTTGACAAAGAAACTGTTTTATCTTGTGAGGGGCAAACAGACCCCACTTCCCAACAGCACTCAGAACTGACTAGAAACGATACCAGCACTCTCTATCCATCCGGGAAGACCACGGTTATAAACCTCAGCAAAGGGCCTGGCGAAGAGGCAGGGAGTGAGACATCGCTGGAAGACCGAGAGAAAACCGCTACCACAGATAACAATGCTATAAGTGAAAGTGGGGTTGCTGGGGTCGAATCGTCTGCACAGAATGGCACCCAGCAGCCCAAACCTCAACAGCAGAAAGTCAGTAAGCGGCGCAGTACGATGAGCGCTGGATTCAAACACCCCGGTTATGGTAAACGCCGCCGCCGTGCCAACTCTGAGAGCGAGTCGGTCTTGCCAACCAATTTCCTGCTGGGCGGGAACATTTTTGACCCACTCAACCTTAACAGCCTTTTGGATGAAGAGGTGAACCGGGCTCTCAACGCAGAGACGCCCAAGTCCTCGCCATTGCCAGCCAAAAGCAGAGACCCTGTAGAGATCCTGATACCCAGAGACATCACAGACCCCCTGAATCTCAACTGCCCAGGTGCAGGGGACAGCAGTCTGTTGGTGTCTCCCCTGAAAAGTGGCGGAGGCAGGCGTAGACATCGGAACAAGCACCATGGAGCGAGCGCTGGGAAAGCTTCTGGTGAAGGAATAGTCGCACAGATCGATTTACCAGAGTCTAATGGCAGTGCAGCAGGACAAGATGAGGGAACAACAGCGCTCTCCTTACCGCCTCCGCACTCAGGCCCTGTGGCGGACACACTTGTTCCTGAGGACCAAACCCAGTCGGACTCGACTCTTGAGGCTCAGAGTTCAAATAAGCCCAGTTTAACCACAAACGGTGGTGAAATGAAGGAAAAAACCATTGACATGTCAACCGCACCTCCATCCACCAACCCTCCATCAAGCAGGCAGCGCAAACGCAGGCGGGCCGGAAGCAGACTGGAGAACGCAGACAGTTCAGATGGAATGAGAAATTGGGGTCAAAGATCTGGGTGGCATTTTCAGCCCTCTCACACCCCAGGATCGTGCTCTCGTAGCGGATCTGCAGAAAGGCCGCAACAGCATCCAAACCACTGGAGGTCGCAGAGCAACCAGCACCAACAACAGACTAAACAGAAGTTTCAGTATGGCAACTATAACAAATACTATGGTTATCGCAACCCTGGGCTGAGCGAGGATCCTCGTATCCATGTTATGAATCCCGAGTGGTTCAGAGGGAAGGAGGTTTTAGATCTGGGTTGCAACACCGGCCACCTGACTCTATCAATCGCCAAAAATTGGCGACCGGCTCGGATTGTGGGCCTGGATATCGACGCAGCGCTGATACATGCTGCTCGGCAGAATATACGCCACTACCTCTCTGAGGTTCACACGCAGCAGGCCAGACGCGCTGAGGAAAATGGGGAGGGGAATCGAGGAGAAGGGAAGGAGGGGGATTTAGTGGAAGAAAAGAGTCAGAGGAAGGAGAAAGACGAAGAGAGTTTAGTTGCGAAAGAGGAGGGGGGTGAGGACAAAACAAAGCATGTGGATGAAGTGAATGAATGCATGGTCGAAGAAGGAATGGAAGTTGGTCGAGAAGAAAGGGAGAATAAAACCACAGAGGCTGAATGGGGAGGAATGAGTGGGAAAGTGGAAGATGACGCATCGGTTGGTCTCCTTGATGGAAAGCGTTCATTCCCTGTCTCGCTCCGGATCTCGAGAGGACCCATAGCTGGCCCGCCTTTGCCTGAGATACACACAGACAGTCTCCCTCCTGGAGATTTCCCTGCCAACGTGACCTTTGTCAAGGTAAGAGCGAAAAACGTGTTAGTGAGGGTTAGAAAGTTGGAGTTCATGTTCACTGGACAGGAAAGTTTTGCTCCAAAGCTCCATTAAAATGCTGTATCAAGTATGTCTGATGTTATCTTCTGTATGCCGTATAAAAATAATCAACACTGAACCGAATTGAGCTGAATAATAACACCATTGTTTTATGTAGAGCTGCTTCTCAGCTGAAATTGAATTTGTTTCAGTTTTGCAACAGTTTATTACTGTAAAGCTGCTTTCTAACAATCTGTATTGTATAAGGTGTTATATAAATGTGACCTAAAGTGCCCCTATTATGCCATTTTAAGGTTCCTAATATTGTTTTGGGAGTCTCCTACAATAGGTATAGATGTATGCAAGGTCAAAAAACGCTTTCGTTTTCTTAAAATATGCGTTTAATATCACCTGATTTTCCAGCGATTCTCAAACAATTCGTTTGAAGCAGTTCTGAGGTTCAGTCTCTCTAAACCCCTCCTTTCTGTGAGCCTGCTCTGCTCTGATTGGTCAGATGGTCCAGTCTGTTGTGATTGGTCTACTGTGTACAGCGCGTGTCGGAAACAATACGTCCATTGCCATAGTTCCGTATTTTGAGCACTCAATAGAAAGTATAAACATCTATTATTTATCATACACACAGGTTGTGATTCAGTGGAGTCAGCTGGTCCAAATAAACTGAGTATTGAGCTCATCTTTCAAAAGCAAGCATTTTGTGAATCCCGCATTGAACTCTCTGAGATTAGAGAAGCAGTCGTCAGTAAAATGATGGGAACACAATAAAGATTGGGGTTGTACTGCTGTGGAAAAAATGAATTTTAACCACTGGAAGTGAAAATTAAACAAATTTACTTTCACAGCGTAGCACACGATTGCTGCTGTCATTGCAATTTTGTTTATTAGTTTTAAAGTTCCAGAATCGTCAGCAAGCTGACTATCAAGTGCGGTAAATGTTTATATGTTTGTCAACCAATGGGCTGCTACATTTTATTATTTTCTAGCAACAAAGCACTTGAATGCGACAAGCTCAATCACAATTTCATAAGCGATTCTTTCTTTTGGGAGACAATAACTTTATTTATCACACTCTTTCAGCTTTACAACTTTGCAGATTGTTTACATTCACATACAACTTCATTACATGGCATAATAAATGGCATAATAGGTGCACTTTAAAATGTAATGTACAAAATATGATATATAATATAAAAGTGCAATACAACATAAAATATTCATACTTAATTCATGCACTTGTATTTGAGCAGAATGGCACAGCACCAGTAAATAATACTAGATGAGTAGTGAAAAACAATGAATGCAAAAAATGTTATGCACTACACAACAGATGCATGCAAGCCTGTCGTTCGTAGTAGTTTAAGCTGTTAATCAGACTTTTATAAAGCCTTCTCTGTTTAAAGCACATAAGTGAGACAGGAAATAATGATTTATTTTAATAGTGCAAGCTATAAATGAAGTACTGTACACACCCAGAAAGTATTTGTGCAGCATAGCTGAAGATGAACTGTCGTCTGATTCTGCTTTTGGGAGTACATGCATATGCATGCTTCTGTCCAAGAACATTTAAGCCTTTAGCTTGAAATGTTGAATGTGTAAACCTGTAGACTTGGACTGACCTGAGCCACATCCAGGGACAAGAGAGTGATTTGGCTCTTTTGACTTGGGCCAGTAAGAAGCCACCCTGAACACCTTAACAACTGCATAGTAATGTGATTGAAACCACTCAGAACAAATTAGGGACCAAACAGCAGTGCTATAGCAGCCACCTTACACCATAGCATTTTAAATCTTGCACTGGAAGAAAATGGGTGTGGCATGGTAACCTTTAAAGATGTGTATGTTTATATTCAAATACTACTATTAGGCATGCAGCACCTGTCTGTCCTGTTTCACAATCCTCTGTCTGACCTGCACAGGGGAACTATGTGCTGGAAAGTGATATGTTGCTGCAGACGCAAAGGGAAGAGTATGATGTGATCCTGTGTTTGAGTGTGACAAAATGGGTCCACTTGAACTGGGGTGATGCAGGACTCAAGCGGCTCTTCCACAGGGTATACAAGCACCTGCGGCCAGGAGGACTCTTCATTTTGGAGCCCCAGCCCTGGAACTCCTACGGCAAGAGAAAGAAACTCACTGTAAGGCCCTTTCTTTTGTCATAACATCAGTTTCAGCCAAATGGTCAGGCGAGACATTTGATGTTTGAACCTGGTGTAACATGCTTCTGAAATGTGTGAACAAAATTGTGAACTGATTTTGTTGAAAATAATTATCTGTGATGCTTATGCACTGTAATTACAATTGCATAATTGTTTTTAAATTGAAAATGCTGAATATAGAAATATAAATTAAAAAGAATAAGAAATAATTATGTAAAATGAAACCCAATTCACCAGTAGATATCTTTATGTGTGAGGCACTGAATCATTCACTCGACAGATTCATTCAAAATGTATGATTCATTCAGGAACAAAGCAACTAGTCATTGAATCATTCACTCACCCGATTTATTTAAAAACCTAGATTCATTCAGTAATGCAGCGCCACTATGTTTGCTTGGAGAAATTTTCATTGTGAAATGGTGCAAAATATTGACAATATAATGAAAGTCATTTAATATTAACTTCTTTTTTGTTGAACTGATGTATGAAATCTATCACATTTGCATTTGTGCTGATATTCAGGAAACATGGCACTCTTGCTTTTGTGCCATTGCTTTATTTAAAAAAACTCATACATGGGCACTTTTTGCCATCATATTTCAAATTTAAGGGCCTTTTTTTTTTTTTTTTAATTAATTTTGGTGCCCTTTTATTTCCCTAAAGCCACTATTAATTTCTGACTTTGGTCTGAGGATGTGATATGGAGCAGATCATTTTTCCAAAGATGAGGCCGGAACCAATCCATTTTAAACCGGACCTTGGAATGGACAAAAGTGGGCGGTTTGATGACCTGAGAGGCCTAGTCTCGTACTAAGAAGATCAGATATTGAATGCGGTGCCAAGACATTTAAACCCTTAAGCAGCATTTTGAACTGCATGTAGACAGTGATCTCCTATCATCTTTAATGAGTTGCAGTAATCATGTCTAGAGGGAAATAAGGCATGAAAAACAGTCTCCATATTTTTAAATGACAGACTTGGGTTTAGCAATAGCCTCAAATCTTGAGGTGAATCAAAGATGACATCAAGACAAACTTGAGCAAGAAATGATTAGGTGTTGTTTAGGTGTGATGATTAGGCATGATGCAAAGTAAAATTACCTCAAAACAAGCGCTTTATGAAACAAACGCAAAGCAATACAAGACACTAATGTTTATTGTAGGTTAATGGTTTGTGGCAAAATAATACAGAATTTAACTGTGTGTGTGTGTGTATCAATGGCTTTGCATGCAAATGATTGAATTTAAAGCTGAAACGGGCAGTTTTAGAAATGTTATTAAGACTTTTGTAACACATTGGGACATTTTAAAGTTGAGTACTTGTTTAACCACATGCATTTTATTTTATTATTATTTAATTTCTCAGGAGACCGTCTTTAAGAATTACTATAGCATCCGGTTAAAACCGGACCAGTTCTCCTCCTACCTGACTACTGAGGTGGGCTTCTCCAGTTACGAGCTCATCGGAACATCACCGAATTATTCTAGAGGTCAGAGCTGTGCCTTGCACTTCCTCCCTATGATATTATGATGTATATGTAAATATTTCTAACCCTCAGTTTGTCTTCTCTTAGGTTTTCAGAGACCAATTTACCTTTTTCACAAAGGGCCCTCACCTCAAAAGTGACGCCAACAGTTTAACCGCCAACCTTGAGAAGAAAACACAAGACCTGGATTTGGAAAACAACCAGCATTTGAAGCCACTGGAACTTTAAGCAGTTTTCTTTGGAAGTAGATTTTCAATATTTTGAACTCTCAAATGGAATCTCATTGGTGCGGAGTTAGCATTAAATTGTTCCCCTGCCTTTGAAAATAAAGGGAAATATCCATTGCCATTTTTTTTTCAAGGACTCTACTGAAGGCTTACAGGTGCAAATCAGAGTTTTTCCCTAACTCAAGCAAGCTGTTTTCATCTCTCGTAAAGAGCGGTCTTGTAAAGAAGCACAAAGTTAAAATTCAATTAAGTAATTTCTCCTAAGCTCCTGTTAAACACGATCAGTTTTTCTTTTGGAATGAAATTCCCCAAAATGCTAATTCCTAGCACACAGAGCTGCTAAATGACCATCTAGAATTGAAATGTTTGGTGATTGGGGTTGTGAACATTTTTTTTTTTTCTCTCTCAAAAGGAAAGATTAGAGCATGTTACCAGATGTTCAGTTTTCTGATTTTTGCTGTTTTGTTGTTGTTGCACTGTCGTATACAAATTTTTTCTTTACGTTTTGAGCAAAGCATTGCTATTAAAATAGGATGCTTTTGACAGCTCTAGCATCTGTCTGCCCATCAGCCGTTTTGCAGCCAGTATGAACAAACGCCAATAGCTCAATTTGTTGTTCATCAATTATATTGCCTGGTCTAACAGGATCCTAATGTTGTCCCAGGGAGTTTTGAAGCTGCAGGTTAGCTGATTTGCTATGTTAAAGTGTTTTCTGATCTAATGTCCCGAATAAAAGTCGGGATTTTACCAGAAGGATGCAATTCCTTTTTGGGGTGGTGGGCCACAGAATGAAGTTTAAACGATGTTTTTTATGTGTTTTGTTCTGATTCTCCAAGTGTTAAAGTTTAACACAAACTGAGGTACTTTTTTGTAAAATGTTTGTCCAGAGTTCTTGTCACAACTGAGGTGTAAACTTGTTGTTGTTAGTTTTATTGCTATTGAAAGGTTTGCACTAAAACGAGAGAACAAATTTGTCTCCCACATTTGTATTTTATTGTGCAAATGTACAGTTGGTGTGTCTCTGAAAAGGCTTCTTTTCATTCAAAGGAAATTACTCGAGACAAACATTTGTGTCTTTTTTTATTGCTGAAGTGTGTTGAAATTTGTTCTTCTGCATTTATACTGTACGAACGTAAATTTACTTTCCCTTCAGCCTGAGGCTTATTCATTTCACTTTTGGTGTGAAAAGTCTTTTATATTGGGCAAAAATAGAACTTTTTTATTTTAAAAACAAACAAGCAAGCCCTGTCCAGATTTAAAAAGTAACGTAACGCATTACTTTCCATAAAAAGTAACTAAGTAACGTAATTAGTTACTTTTTTATGGAGTAACACAATATTGTAATGCATTACTTTTAAAAGTAACTTTCCCAGCACTGCATTTGGGATCATGTAAGTACACAAGTCAGCAAAATATATAACACTGTTCTAGTGGTTTTTGGATATTTTAATAAAAAAAGCTTACATATTGTGCCTTTAATTAAAAAAAAATCAAACACATTTAACATGAAACAAAACGCTTACTAAAAAAGATGAAATATTGTTTACCTGCCTGTCATGTGGCCAGTCAGAGAACTGTGAACAAGCAAATGTTCTTAAATACTTAAAGGAAATATATTAAGTGAAAGACTGACCAAAATCTCTTCATTACATGTAAATAAGAAATATCGTGAATTTGTGCATTTTAATGTGTAGCTAGGGGAAGAAAAGCTCTCCAACGACATAGTAACATGGTTAAATAAGCTAGTGAGTGATAATTTAAATGGAAATTATGTCAAATTTTGTTGATGCAATATTGAGATATTACCCACCACATTTGCTCTCAAGCTATGCAGTGACATTTCACACTATGTTGAGCTGAGGAAGTTATGCGTAATATTATTGCTGAAAACAGTCGAATTAATTCCGAGATCAATAAATTGGTACGTGTCTGTTCCACAGAAATATGTTGGAATATCCGAAACGACCACAAGATGGAGAGCTTTTACAAAAAAACGAGGTGTTTTGTAACAAAATAGTGAAATTGGTTTATCTTGCCATTCTACATCACAGATGTTACCAAAATTTTGTAACACATTCACGATTGTAACATTTAAGTCTACAATTTAGACTGCATATATAACCAATTTAAACATATTGCTTACAGACCCATGTGAGAGACTTTAAAAAAAAAATGAGTTTGTGAATATAGCCTATGTAAAAATGCTTTTGTATGAATGTATGTAGATTAGCTTCTGTCTGTTCACAGCACGGCAATGTGTGAACAATTACATAGTTAAATATTAATGCCCCCAGCCTACCCCACACCGGCTTGAGCATGTATGTATGTGAATGCAATTTTATGATGACAAGCTCAGTAGTGTTGCTACGGGCAACTCTCTTTTATATAAAACTTCATATATTTCAACTGAGACTCAACATCACTGCTCCACTCTGATGCATTTCAGCAGACACACACGCACATGCACACACACACACGCGCACACACACACATGCACACACACACACACGCACACACACACACACACGCACACACACATGCACTTATGTAACAGTGATGTAGGAGTGAGGATGTATGGTCAATCCATTTAAAGGCAGATTTTAACCAAACCAATAAAAGCATTGTATTCGTTGTCTTCTTTCTGTTTTAACAACACCCAGTTAAAGCATGCATACTCTCTATTGTTTCTCTCTCTCCAGTCCTGACATGAAAGTCACAGCAGCTCAAGACAACACACTATTGTACTTCAGGAACTCAAGTGGCATGGATTCTGCATGGCAGATACAGATGGCTTGGATTACATTCAGTCAAAACACTCTTCCATTAGCAATGGAACACTGTTCGAATAAAATAATCCGATTTATGACGTTTTTTTATATGCACCACCCTGGAGACTGAAAATGCATCACTGACAGCTGCTTTATTGCACAACCATTGACTCTTGACTGGATGGAGGTGCTGATTGACAGGCTTTGAAGCTCTGACATACCCTTTGACTGACTTTAATGGTACAGTCCACTATCTTAAAGGCAAAGTGATAATAATAATAAAATATGTATGTATGTATACATTATATATAAACTGTGCACAACATAAAACACACTCAATGTGCTTATGAACATATATACGGAGAAAAGGCTCAAGTGTTAACACAAAGGCATAAAAAGAAGCAAATCAGATGACACTGTCAATAAAAATAGATTTATCTTCTCCTCTTCAGTCTCTCACCGCCTCTCGTTCTGTTTTCTCTCGTCTTTTATTTCAGAGAGGAAATAAACTGAATGCAATGCCTTGTTGCTCTCTTCAGGCTTTTTCGAGAATAGCATACTAGTCATACTATTTCTGCAGTGTACAGTATGTATAGTATGCACATTTTCAGTATATACCTGACTCCGTTGTAAAATGTGCAGTATACAAACAAAGTGGAATACTGTATGGCACAATACTGCATTCAGCCCACTTTTGAAAAATAGCCATTTTTAAAGCAGTGTGTATAATGCAGTGAACATTTTGTCGCATGAACTATCACATTACGTTACATGTTTAATTCAGCAAATGGCATTCAGTCATGGCCCTTCACCCAGGGACCCAAATCAGCAGGGGCCGCTGATGAGCTGCCAAACACTGCACTTTTCATTCTTGCTTTTCTTTTTCTTTCTTTCTTCCTTTCATTTTTTATTTCTTTCTTTTTAGAAATATTCTTTCTCAAATGATTAATTTCTCAGTTATTATTATTATATATATATATATATATATATATATTAGAATATTATTATTATTATTAGTCAACTAATTATAAACTGCCAAATTACAATAACTAATGCCTTTTGAGGTGAGAAAAAATAATGGGGAAATTAAATCAGCAAGCTTTAAACAGTTCATTCTAAATAAACATGACTGAACAACCACAAGTGGATCTGATAAAAGTAAGAAACTGATTGTCTTGTGAAGCATGATCCCAAGCCAGCAATCACATGACCTGGATAGTGAATAATTGCTAATGTTATATTAAACATCATCTCAGAACAAGAGGTATAAAAGCTGCATGTCTCTGGGGCAGTACCTTTTCAAAAGGTACACTTTTGTACCTTTTAGATACTACTATGTACAATTTAGGTACTATGAGTGAATATGAGAGTGAATAAACAGGCCAAATCGTTGCATCAACATGAAAATACCCACTTAATACTTTCCTAATCCCTTATATCATCTTATTCCAATTATCCACTTGCCAGCAGGATGTTTTTAATTAAAATATAATACAATTTAGCATGATCACTTTTTTTCTAAATATATTTTAATAAGTACAGGTCAGAATAAGTCATTTTGACATTTTATTTTCAACAAAAGTTATTTGAAACATTAAAGCAGACACTTTCCTTGCATTTAATATGCTTTCTATATGTATAAAAAAAAATCACTTTTGAAAATGTAATTTGATATGGTCACCAACATCGGACGTCTCGTCTTTGACCCATATATCTATTAGCACATTTCCAGCACTTTTATCATTTATTGTCCTTGTTAGTTCATCATAGTTTCAAGTAACAGCGTTTTTGTTGTTTGGCTTTAGTTCAGTAAAAACCCTGATCGCAGGATGCATTACCCCACACAGTGTAGCTACTCTGCAGTGTTACGCTGCAGATGCAAATGCGGTCGGTCATCTGCGGAATCCATGCGTACAGAGCCGTCGTGCACAGTATACCTTAATCATCGCACACTGTATCGCATACTACCTATCTAGAGCGCGGTACGCATTGGAACGCGGCCTGTCGGCTCACAGATTTCACTGCGCTTTATAAAGCCACGGCCACACGACAACAGCCCGGCTATTACACAGAACTCTGCAGCGTTGCCAAGGCAACGGCAACCGAAAGCCATGACAACCAGGGTACCCTCATCCTCTATTAGTCTTCTTTTCTTTTTCTGGACTCCCGTTTTCGCGCACTCCTTTACATCCGGCGCGTTTCCTCGAGTAATTTCGCTCTTTAACTCCCATTCCCTCTCTACACGCGCATCTTCACCTCCCCTTCTTTCATCTTTTTTGCGTCCCCTCCCTCCGCGCTCTCTCTCCCTCTCTCTCTCTCCATCTTCTGCCGCTTCGGTCCGTTCCCTCTTTCCTTTCTCCCCCTCTTCGCCACCTCTCGTCTCTGCACTCATCCTCCCCTGCCCATGTCCTTTAATTTGCTCGCATCCTCCCCTCCATCTCTCCGTTTCGTCTTTTTTGTACCTCCCCTCGTCGATACGAACGCGTCCCTCTCCTCGTTTGCCAAATCCTGAAGGCAGACCTCTCTTATTCTCTCTCTCTCTCCGTACCTCCCCCTTCCTCTTTACGTTTCCCCCCTCCCTCCATACTCTATTTTCCTCAATGCTTAAGTCAGTCAAAAGAGATACACTGAAGAAAAGAGGGGCGAACGGCGGGCGCTGAGAGAGAGAAAGAGAGAAGGAGAGAAGCTGGAGGGAGAGAGGGGAGAGGGGGGAACGGGGGTTTGGATACATCTCCACCTGTCTTCTCTCTGCCATGGACTGCCTCTGCATAGTGACCACAAAGGTAAGCCAGTTCATCCCGTCACGACCAGAAGCAGGAATGTGCGGTGTGGGCGCGAGGGGGGAAGTTTATCGCTCTCTGTCGAGCAGCTTCTCCTGCTAGTGTGCTGTGAAGGGTGCGTTCTGTTCCGAGCCTCTTCACGGGTTCAGCACTTCTTTGTTCTTCCGTCTGATCTTGCTCTCTCACCCGAGCTCGCACTGAAATTAAATACGAGGCTGTTTTATAATAGGAGCGTGCATTTGAAATCCCTCTCTTGCGTTTTTTGGGGCGCGCGCGTAAGGAATCTTTACACACAGGACGCGCTCTTCTTGCGTTCCAAGAAAGCTGGACGCAGCGGAAGGCAGCTGAACGCTCGCGTTTTTAGAAGTTCAACTTCTTTTTACTCGCCTCGCTGAAAAACACAGCGAGACGCCACTACCAAACTGTCTCCATCCAAGCGCGTGTGTACAGGTGCACAACAATGAAACAATAGCGCGGCGGAACGCAAGAACGCGG